CGGGGGCAACACTGAGGGTTGCGATCCATTGCCGGACACGGAAAAAAGACAAAAGACAAAAAAAAAAAGAAAAAAAATTTTGGGAGCCGGCCCAGTGGTGCACTGCTACAAGTGCGCTGCTTGGGAGCGCGGTGGAGCTCCCGCTGAGGGTTCGGATCCCACATACAGACCGGTTCCCGCTCGCTGGCTGAGCGAGGTGCGGGCGCAACATCGAGGTTTGCGATCCCGTTGCCGGTCCCGGTCCGGTATGGGCGCGACACTGAGGGTTGCGATCCGTTGCCGGACACGAAAAAAGACAAAAAAAAAAGAAAAAAAATTTTTGTGTGCGTTTCTGGTGGCTGGCTGGCACAGGGATCAAACCCTGTACCTTGGTGTTACCAGCACCACACTCTAATAAACTGAGCTAGCCGGCCATCCCTAAACATTTTTTAAGATTAGGAAACAAGCAGAAGTCAGAAGGAGCCAAATCGGGACTGTGAGGTGGATGCCCAATGATTTCCCATTGAAACTCTGGCAAAGTTTCATTTGTTTCATAAGAGAAATGAGGAGGAGCATTGTTGTGGTGGAGAAGGACTCTCTGGGGAAGCTTTCCCAGGCATTTTTCTGCTAAAGCTTTGGCTAACTTTCTCAAAACATTCCCATAATAAGCAGATGTTATTGTTCTTTGGCCCTCCAGAATGAATCAAGCAAAATGCCTTAAGTATTCCAAAAAACTGTTGCCATGGCCTTTGCTCATGAATGGTCTGCTCTTGCTTTGACTGACTGGACCACTTCCACTTCTGGGGAGCCATGGCTTTGATTGTGCTTTGTCTTCAGGAACATGTGGTAAACTCATGTTTCATTTCCTGTTACTATTCGAAGATATGCTTGATGATCTTGACCCCACTTTTATTTAAAACTTCCATTGAAAGCTCTGCTTTTGTCTGCAGCTGATCTGGGTGCAACAGTTTTGGCACCCATTGAACAGAAAGTCTGCTCAACTATTTTTTCAGTCAGAATTGTGTAAGCTGAGGGCCGGCCCGTGGCTCACTTGGGAGAGTGTGGTGCTGATAACACCAAGGCCACGGGTTCGGATCCCTATATAGGGATGGCCGGTTAGCTCACTTGGGAGAGTGTGGTGCTGACAACACCAAATCAAGGGTTAAGATCTCCCTTACTGGTCATCTTTAAAAAAAAAAAAAATTGTGTAAGCTGAACCAATTGAGATGTCTACGGTGTTACTGTTGTTTCTGCTGTTAATTGCTGATTCTCTTTAATTAGGGTACTAGGGCCGGCCGGTTAGCTCAGTTGGTTAGAGTGTGGTGCTGATAACACCGAAGTCAAGGGTTTGATCCCTGTACTGGCCAGCCGCAAAAAAAAACAAAACAAAAAACAAAAAAAACTTCCTTCAATTAGAGCACTAACAAGATTAATTTTTTTCCTTGCAAATTGCTGTGGATGGTCTGCTCCTGTGGGCTTCATCTTCAACATTGTCCAGTCTCTCCTTAAAACAAGTGATCTGTTTGTAAACTGCTGATTTCTTTGGGGCATTGTCCCCATAAACTTTCCATAAAGCATCAGTGATTGCACCATTCTTCTACCTAAGCTTCACCATAAATTTAATGTTTGTTCTTGCTTTAATTTTAGCAGAGTTCACGTTGCTCTGATGGGCTCTTTTCAAACTGATATCTTATCCTTCTTAGTGGCTCAAACTAGATCCTGTTCAGACATGTTATAACAGGTTAGTATGAGTTTATTTTGGTGCAAAAAGTTTTGCAGTTTGTGGATAGTTTTTTCATAATATGCATTTTCCATGAACTTTTTGAATACCCCTCATATGTTAAAGTGTAATGTGCTGATGAATGTTACAGATTTTATGCAGCGGGCTTCCAGGTATTTCATGGACTTCATTCTCTTATTAAATCATATTATGGCAATATTATTGATAATGTACTTCTGTTTCTATATGAATTATTTGCATTTGAAAGGGAATGGAATCTTTTGCTCAGGGTGCTCAGAGACCAGAAAAACTAGTGTTATTGGTCCATTGAATTTGTTTCTTGTATTTTTCCTTTGCAGAGCAAAATGCTGTCCATTTTTGAGGGAATCTTTTTTTTTTTTAAAGAATTGGTACCATCATGCTTTCCTCAGAATTGGGGTTATCTTGGATTACAAAAGGCAGTCACCCATCCCAGGACCTCTTTTGCAAACTGATTGTCTTTTAGAGTACTTGGATTCTGATTCTGTCACTTGAAACAGTTTTAAAACTGTATCCAAGAAAGAGCTCCGAGCTTACTGGAGATAGTAAAACCTGGTTGGGATGACCCTCCCTGCAGGAAGCAGCTGGAGGAGCCAAGCAGATTGCTTTCTCCTGCTCTGTTTTGCGAGTCCAGGTTGGCTCTCATCACTGTTATCTGTCCAGTGTCTAGCTGGTGTCCTCGTGAGCCTAGCTAACCCTGTCTATTTTACTTCCTGGCCCTGTCCTAGGAGTAGATAGAAATACTCAGCGCCCTGAGAAACTTGGGTTTTAGGAAATGTTTTGAGGGTGACCTAAAGAGCTTTCATTTGGGCAGGTTTGGAATGAAAACAAGGCTCACAGATCTGCTGGGAAGTGTTAAGGAGATTTTTCTTTAATGATTGCATCCAGTGGACCCTAGTCATTCTTAGACCTTGAAAAGAGTGAGGGAGAGTGGTGTGTCTTTATGGGAAGCAAAAACTAACATTTATTCGACCTACTGTGCTAGACCCTGTGTGTGTGTGTGTGTGTGTGTGTGCAGGAGATTTTTCTTTAATGATTGCATCCAGTGGACCCTAGTCATTCTTAGACCTTGAAAAGAATGAGGGAGAGTGGTGTGTCTTTATGGGAAGCAAAAACTAACATTTATTCGACCTACTGTGCTAGACCCTGTGTGTGTGTGTGTGTGTGTGTGTGCGCGCGCGCGCGCACGCACGTCCTCCCATTACTGTGTTACATGCTTAATCGTGGTCACTCTGGAAATTCTGTCAGCAATTCAGGAGGAGTAATAAGATATGCTTTTATTACTAAAACATTGTTGTCCATTAAGCCGACTACTAAATAGTACGTGTACTATTTAGTAACAACTATTTAGTGAACATAGCCTAGGTACCCAAAGACACATTACCAACTTATTGGGTTATAAATCTAGTTGAGGAGATATGATACATAATGCTTGAGGTAGTTATGAAAAGTGGTATGGGAGTAGAGGAAAGAGCAGACATGTGCTTTGTCTGTTTTTATTAGATCTGTGACCTTAGACAAATAACCTGAGTTCCACAGTTTCCTCCTTTGTGAAATGGGAATAATACCACATATTTTGCAAGGATAGCTGTAAGAATTTTTAAAGATTTAATGCATATAAAATGCCTGGAACATAATGGATACCCAATAAATGGTAGCTGCTATAATTGACCTGAAATTAGAATTGTGGAGGAAGGCATTGAAAAGCAGGAAAAAAATCAAGAATAGATAGGGTTTTTTACTGACCTGTGGGAAACAAGAAAAGGTCATACATTTATTCTCAACCTTGGTATCTGGAGGAATGGTGATGCTGTTCAAGAAACAAGGATGAGGAGGAAGGTGAATATGATATTTAACATGCCACCCAGAGGCTCACACACAGAGCCTGGTTCTTTGGGAAAGCACCAAGGCACTCTTTTAGCTCATCTCTCTCAAATCCCTCTACCTGTTGCTGTCTTCACATCCAAGCCTAACTACTTTGGATTTTAATTGCAGCTCCTCCACCCCCACCACCCATGATCCGAAATGGTGCCAGGGATGCTCCCCCTCCCCCACCACCATACCGAATGCATGGGTCAGAACCCCTGAGCCGAGGAAAGCCCCCACCTCCACCCTCAAGGACGCCAGCTGGGCCACCCCCTCCTCCTCCACCACCCCTGAGGAATGGCCACAGAGATTCTATCACCACTGTCCGATCTTTCTTGGGTGAGTAGCTAGCCATTTTAGTCTCATATTTCCTGTGGTGACTTCACTCACTCCAGTGCCTTGGCTGCCAGGTGGCCAGTCTAGAGTGGGAATGGCCACATGGTATTCTTTATTCACAACAGTTCCCCTCCCTTTACCCTCAGACTTCTAGGCCCTGTCCATTGACGTCTTTTTCCTTCTGTGAATTCTGAGTATGGTTGCTTTGGAATAGGTTGAAGTAAAATCAACAGGTGTTATGCTAACTCTAAAGCCACTCTCCTGGTTGGCTCAGTTGGTTAGAGCCTTATAACACCAGGGTCATGGGTTCAGATCCTCATGCTGGCCAGCTGCAAAAAAAAACCCCAAAAAACCAAAAAACCCCAGTCTCCTGCCCCTCAAGGATCATTATTTGTGGTTAGGTTTTAGGTCAGAGACTCTGTATCCTTTTTAGGATTATTCAGACAGAAATTATGTATCCTCCTGGGAAGGCAAGCTCCTTTCTGGCTCTTTAAATATAAAACAAAACACTACACAATATTTATCTAGTGATCAAAAGCCACTAGATAAATGGCTTTTGTGTTATTTTGCAGAAGTCACTTCACTTTTCTGAGCCTCACTTCCCTTATCTGTAAAACAAAGAGGTTGACTAGATTAGGAGCATATCAGATTAACTTTTCCAAGGCTATGAATATTGGGGCCTCTACCTAAGAGATTCTAATTCATTAGGTCTGGGATGGATTCCTAAGTAAGGGTTGTCCTGAGGATATTGTTAGACACACTGTTGAGGACCCTTGGAATAGATCTGTAAGGTCCCTTACAGCCCTGACACTCTAGGTTCTTTAATGGTTGTTCTCTTCCTCCACCCCCTTGTCCCCCATCTTCCAGTCTATTCCTATTAGGTGGACCAGGGTCTTTTCTTTGAAGATATGTCCTTATTGTAGAACTCTTTTGAATGTGATCAAGCCGCACCCATAGAAAATACGAGCCTTCTTATGGAGGGGCCATAGAAAGTGGGATTGGGGCCATGAGATGGCTATCCCAATTGTGCTGCAGAACTAAATGAGGGTAACCTGGGCTGAAAGGGAATTATCTAGTCACATCTCTTACTAGCTGGAGACAAATGTTGCTATATTAGGCTAATTTCTACCAGTTTTTGGATTTAGTTCAGTTGGCTTCCCGTGGTGACAGTGTAAGATGAAAATGTTATTGAAGTACAACTATATTTCTTTCTGCTTCCATGCAAACAGCTGGGCTCCTTTCTGTTATGTGCCTGATTTTGGTGGAAAGGTTTAAAGCATTAGCTTTAAAGAGCCTTTGAACACATCCTGTGTGCATGTGAGGCACATAAGGTGATGCTGTTGCTGTTCTCAGGAACCTTGGCTTAGTGGGTGAGGCACACCCTCCCTCACATTAGATCAGAGTGAATGAGAGATTAGTAAGTGGGGAGGGTCACAAGGGGTCAGAGGTCTGTGGGAGCACAAGGAAGGGTGATATGAATTAATTTTCTATTCTTTTCTCAGATGACTTTGAGTCAAAGTATTCCTTCCATCCAGTAGAAGACTTTCCTGCTCCAGAAGAATATAAACACTTTCAAAGAATATATCCCAGCAAAACAAACCGAGGTGAGAAGACTAGGGGGAAAAAAAAAAGTGTTTCTATAATTGCATAGAATATAGAATTTGTTTTTTTAGTTTAAAATTTGCTTCTTGGGCCGGCCCGGTGGTGCACTGGAGAGTGCGCCACTTGGGAGCATGGTGGCGCTCCCGCCGAGGGTTCGGATCCCATGTGGAGACTGGTTCCCGCTCACTGGCTGAGCGCGGTGCGGGCGCCACACAGAGGGTTGCGATCCCGTTACCGGTCAGTGAAAAAGACAAAAAAGGGAAAAATAAATAAATAAATAAATAAAATAAAATTTGCTTCTTGTCATCTTCATTTTTTTTTTAAAAAACAAAACAACAACAGAGCCTAGTCCCAGATTTTAAAGGTTAGCTTAAAGAGCCTGTCATTTCATGAGTGTTTGTGTTATTCAAGGTCTGGTGGGTGACCTATAGGTGTGTGGTTACAGAGCCTAGTCCCAGATTTTAAAGGTTAGCTTAAAGAGCCTGTCATTTCATGAGTGTTTGCGTTATTCAAGGTCTGGTGGGTGACCTATAGGTGTGTGGTTTTTGTTTGTTTTGTTTTTTTCAGCTGCCCGTGGAGCCCCACCTCTCCCACCCATTCTCAGGTGAAGACTGGCTTGGTCCTCTTCCTCAGGCAAAGGATGGACCTTCTCTTCTTCTCAGATGGTCCCTTCCATTCCCCTGAAACCTGCATGAGAGCTCCTAACGTGTTTCTCCAGTGCAACCAACCCCTAGACTCCAAGTGTCCTCCCAGCTCACCTCCATCTATGCATCTCGTCTCTGGACTTGGTGGTCGGACTCTTACTATATTGACAGTAGGGTCTCAGACCCTGCGTCCATCACTCCTCTAGCAAGCCCTCCTAGCCAGTGAGGAAAAAGCTTTCATGTTTTCTGCTTTCCTCTTGGGGAAAGGTGCCTTGTGATGAATTAACTCATTGTTGAGGCAGGACGGAGAAGGGTACTCCTCCGTCCTCCTACTCACTGTGGGGGAGCTTGGCAGGTATATTATATGTCATTATTTAGTAGGCTGGCATGGCCAGGACTTCCGGGGGGAATGGGAACATTTTTAGTGAAATGGAAAAGGAGTTTGCAGAGAAATGATCTGTTTTAAAGGTCAGATTTGGAGAAAGGGCGAGGAAATGGGTCTGCTTTATTTTTAGGGATATTTTGGTTTTGTCCTCAGAAATGGAAAAGGAGTTTGCAGAGAAATGATCTGTTTTAAAGGTCAGATTTGGAGAAAGGGCAAGGAAATGGGTCTGCTTTATTTTTAGGGATATTTTGGTTTTGTCCTCGCCCCACCCCCGCAACCCCAGGGATAAGTTGGATATAAACACTAAATACTAATCAGTTGAGCTAAACATTTCATAGAAAGAGAGGATTAAATAAACTGAGGATCATTTTAGAGCTAGTCAGTTCCTCCGCAGCAAAGGGACCAGGAGCCATTTGAGTCCTTTGGGACTCCCCTCCCCATTTCCTCAGGGTGCTAGGCTGAGGGATGTTCCTGCCTCTCCCTCCGCGCGCTCCCCCCCGGCCCATCCCCTCAAGAGAAAAGTTGGGTTTTGTGGGGGGCATCATTCATTCCTGATATTCAAGCCCCAAAAACCTCTGGTAGGAGATGCAGAGATAGGGCCTGGGCCTTAACCTCAACCTCGAGTCTGCTTCTGTCTTTCCTTACTGGCCCTGAAGTGGTCAGTGGCCCTTTCAGTCATTCAGCCCCTGGAGGGTTCTGCAGGATGACAAAGAAGGGGAATAGTGAAGCACCTTGTGGAAGGGACTGGGTCTGTGGGACTGCAAAGGACTTTAAGTCCTACTTATACTGAAGTCCACAGCCTGTCTGACTGAGCAGGCTCTTCCTATTCCTTTCTCCACCCTCCTCACCTTCCAAAGACTGCAGGCATTAGCACAGCAGAGTAGAGAAGAGTGAGGAAGTCAGTAGAAGCTTATGGGGTTGTTCAGAGATCCCTCTATGCCAAGAAGCACAAAGACTTTGGTGAGATGTGCCTTAGTCCAATAGATCTTCCTTGGCAGCCAGCAACACGTGATTAGTCTTCCAGGTCATAGTTAAAGAGCACAGAGAAAATGGAGGTTCCCAGTCTAGGTAGGAACTGAGGTTGGATGATAAGACAGAGACTTCCCCTTCTCCAGCAGCAGGATGGGGTTCCTGGGCCTGACATACCAGATGGTTTGGTTTATTACAGCTGTTATGTGCAGAGGCTACTCAAAGCTTGGCATGAGAGCAGGGAGGTGATGGCTATTCCTTGAAATGGATGGGGAAATTAGTTTTAAAATTTCACCAGACACGTCACAGGGTTAAACTGCCTTGGGTACCTCTCCAATCTGTTGGATCACAGGCCAAGGATTTGTGTGCATCGTGCCAGGTGGAACCCAAGTCTTCCCAATACTAGTTGAGGGAGGTGTCAACCTGAGTTATTTGTATGGAGTCTGCTATACTTTGCCATTCCCTGGACCACATTGACTCTTGGGACCAACCATGATTAGGACTGTCACCAAACTTTTCTAATCATTCATTATTTATCATTCTTTTTTTTCAAATCTGTTAGCAGTTATCTCCCAGAAGTATCCCCAGCATCCTGAAGTGGAAAGAGCTGAGAGAGGGATGCTAGTGGAGAGAAAAGGAGAGAGTACAAGAGTTGACACTGCAGCAGAATTCCAGGGTAGATGCTGACAAGTACTGAACTTTGACTGTGAAGTCTTCCCATTTATTTTTGAAATGGGAGTTGATGCCTTTTGTACAATGTTATCAGTGTCTTTTTTTTTTTTCCTTTTCCTCAAATATAGAGCATCAAAACAGTATCATAAGTAAAGCCAAACCCCAGCTTTTCATTGGGACTGATACCTTCCTCCCCAGGACCTGCTGCCCTTCATATTCCCCAGTATTTGGACTGTATCACATGGGTATTGATTGTATTCTCATTGTCTTGGCCTCATAAAAGCAGCCCTGGGTCTAGATCTAATAAGATAGGTTTTCTTCAGATCATGTTGATGACACAGCACCTATTTAAATTTCTTTGCCTTATACATTTTTTGGTCCCGCTGTTAATAACATTTATTGTCATGTATATTTACTATTGAAGATGGGAATGTGATCCTCATAGTTATTGGTCTATTTTGTATGTTGTAAAAAGCTTGTAATATACGTTTAAGGTGGGCTGGCTACAAGAGCACTAAAACTTCTCACTTTTGAACTGCTCTTTTTTATCTGCTTGCGGGAATGTCGTCTCTTCAGTGGAAGATTGGGTAGTCTCATGTTGAGGCTGTTGCCCAGTCCCATTAACTTCTTTGTTCCTTCCCAGAAGGAAGAGACATTGCCCAACTAAGCACCAGGAAGCTGTATTAAAAGCCCTTGTGTGGGTTTGGTTTTGTGATGTTTTTCCCTAGTTGGAAAAACTTTATAGTTGTTTCTTATCTCCCTGTCTGGGAAGTGGGGCAGTGGCCTCCAGTTTTTTAAATGAGCTAGATGCCCCTCTTCCCCCTCTTCTCTGGTCACCAAACCTGGGCCAAAGCACTTTGATATTCCAGGTATGGGTTTCTCTATCGTGGGGATTTACTCCAGCTGCAGAGCCCCGTCATTTTCACAGCCTAGGTCAGCAGAGTGAGAGCCTAAGGCTACCCCATCTGGTGGATGTGAGGCTGCTGTCTCCTGGAATTCATCCCAGCCCTCCTAACTGGCAAAGGCGAGGAGACTTACCATTGGCCATTGCAATGGGGGAATCCCCTCACCCCATTGCTACCCAGCTTGAAACTCAGATTTACCTCCAGGGAGAGGTGAGAAAAAAGTTGTAAATAGACTTGCTACAGAGCAACTCAGGGTTGGGGTGTGTTTTAATTCTCCTGATCACTTGAAATAATCTGTAGGCTGAGTGCTTATGGGAGTGGGGGATAAATGAGACTCCAGAGTCCTTCCCTTCTTCAAAGCTCTGGGGGTGGAGTATAGGGTACCTGAGGCCCTTTGCTGGCACTACACTGAGCTGTCTGTCCTTCTGGAAACCCAACCTGCGATCAACTGCAAATCAGATTTTTTACATTCCAGTTGTAGTCTTTCTTTCCCTATTGGATCTCAGTCCGTGGTTATGTGGTCAAGTTGGCTTTCTGTCAAGCCACCCTAATTTAGGGAATGGGAGGGGAGAGAGGAGGGCTGTTACAACTCTGCCTTCAAGACTCATCTCTTAAAAACAAAATGAAACAAAACTACAACCATCTTCAAAACCACTTGCAAAAAAAAGGCTAACTTTAACTGAAGGAAGGGTTTGGTTCCATTCACCTCCACATTCATTGTGCCTTTACTTGTGTTAGAGTTCTGTGCTTTTTTCCTCTCCCTCTTTGAAACAATTAAAATCTTCCTTGATAACTGCTGTTTCCTTTTTTCTACTCTTGTTTCTGACAGCTTTGTGGTTTTTTCTTGAATTGTCTTAGATCTCATTCCACTTGTGACAGAGGGTCCTAGCCTTCTTTTCTCATGTCTAACCTTTGTCCTTTCCCACGGTGACCAGCATGGAAGTCACAGTCAACACTGAATAAAAGACTAGAATGACACGTGTGCATGTGTGTGTGTGTATGTGTGTGTGTGTCCACCTTGTGTCCTTTTCCTTGTATCCCTCATGGTTCTTACCTGTGTTGCACGGCAGATTCTCAAACTGAGGAGTAGAAGAAAAGGTGAGGGCAGAGGATACAGACTGTGTATCTATTTTTATGCGGGTGTTAGCTGTTTTTCTTCACTACTTCTTAAGCTGAAATCTTAGCTGTTTTTCTTGAACTTTGACTTTAGATGTAAAAATTCAACCAGATGTTCTTTGCTTAACTGTGATCAGCTGACATAATAACCACTAAGATTTAATGAGCTTAACTTGCGCTTTCATCACTAGCAAAGGTCTCAAAATTATTTCCCATTTACTGATTCATAATGGGTGTGTGTATGAATCACTGTCACATAATTTAGATATAAAAACCTATGAGGTGAGGGAAGGAGGGGGAAAAAAGGACTCCCTTCATTTTTATCCATACCAGATTGGTTGAGTTCTTGATTATTTGACCCACCATTGTTATTAATATGATTAATAAACTACCTATTTATTGATTTAATTGTTCCTCCTCACTTTAGCTCACAAATGGGGTTTGCCTAAATGACCCTCAGCTTCCTATCCTTGCTGACAACACCAAGTCAAGGGTTAAGATCCCCTTACCGGTCATCTTTAAAAAGAAAAAAGTAAAATAAAGGACTATATGCTATTTGACTGCAAAAAGTGTTTATGCAAAGGGTAGATGTCCATTTGGCAGGAACGTACTTCCTGTTCCTTCATTCAGCAAGCATTTATTGCATACTTTCCTCTTTGCCGGGCATCTACAATATGAAGATGAGTAAGACATAGTCTTTGCCTCCAAGGAGCTCATAGCCTGGTAGACTTTAGGACAGTGAACCAGGAGAAAACTATGCAGGGTATTAAAAGGTTTTATGGGAGTTAGCCCCAGGGAAGAACGATGGTGAGTGGCATTGCAGACAGAAAACAGCAATAACAGAGACACAGAAGTGAGAAGCAGTATGAGAGTCTGCACATGATGTTACTGGAGGATCATTACCAGGGAAAAGGGAGTACTCTGCAAATAGAGGTAAGAGAACTAAAATGTCAACCTGAGGATCCTGAGCACCCCAGAGGATAACTGTGGGGAAATGCTTCACCTCTGACATCACTGGAGCCCAGTCTGGATCGTTTTTACACATAATTGAATTCATTCTCCACTCCTAGGTTTAGGAGTATAAGATTTAAAGGACTATATGCGGGCCAGCCCCGGGGCTCATTCGGGAGAGTGCGGTGCTGATAACACCAAGGTCATGGGTTCGGATCCTATATAGGGATGGCCGGTTTGCTCACTTGGGAGAGCGTGGTGCTGACAACACCAAGTCAAGGGTTAAGATCCCCTTACCGGTCATCTTTAAAAAGAAAAAAGTAAAATAAAGGACTATATGCTATTTGACTGCAAAAAGTGTTTATGCAAAGGGTAGATGTCCATTTGGCAGGAACGTACTTCCTGTTCCTTCATTCAGCAAGCATTTATTGCATACTTTCCTCTTTGCCGGGCATCTACAATATGAAGATGAGTAAGACATAGTCTTTGCCTCCAAGGAGCTCATAGCCTGGTAGACTTTAGGACAGTGAACCAGGAGAAAACTATGCAGGGTATTAAAAGGTTTTATGGGAGTTAGCCCCAGGGAAGAACGATGGTGAGTGGCATTGCAGACAGAAAACAGCAATAACAGAGACACAGAAGTGAGAAGCAGTATGAGAGTCTGCACATGATGTTACTGGAGGATCATTACCAGGGAAAAGGGAGAGCTTCAAGTATGTGACTTTTCAGAGACCTTTCAATCCTGACGTTCTGTGATGCTTTGCCTGCTTCCACAGTGGTCGTTTACTTTTGTAGGCTTTTCTTGGGCCAGTGCTACATTTCCTGATGAGGGTTTTTATCAGCTCCAGTATGCACGTTAAGTACTTATAGCTTCCTCTGCGCTCTCTGTCCCACTCCAACTGAAGTAGGTTGTTCAACACCACCATCCCTTGAAGCTGGCTGGGCACACATTACCATTTCAGGTTATTAAGGACAATTTTTAGGTGCCTGGGTTATAATATGAATAGTGAAGATTGCTTCCTGGGTTCTGTTGTCCTGTTAAGAGATCAGAAATATCATCTGGTCTAAAAGCCTCCATTCTGTTTTAAAAGATGACCGGTAAGGGGATCTTAACCCTTGACTTGGTGTTGTCAGCACCACGCTCAACCAGTGAGCTAAGTGGCCATCCCTATATGGGATCCGAACCCGTGGCCTTGGTGTTACCAGCACCGCACTCTCCCAAGTGAGCCACGGGCCGGCCCTAAAAGCCTCCATTCTATGGTAACTCTTTTTCTATTCGTGGCAGCCTGTTCTCTTCACTTTTGTAGTTTGCAACTGTCAGAAAGCCTTCCCCAAATGTATTCCTTCACCATCTCTTCCTGTTTAGAGCCTACATCTGTCTAATCTTCCCTCTATGATGAAGTGGTCAAGAGTTTGATTTCCTGTCAAGACTTAAGAGTTCAAATTCTAGCTCTTCCACTTAGTAGTTGTTTGATTGACCTTGTTTACTCAACTCCGCTACTTTGGTTTACACATTTGTAAAATGGAAATAATACCAACTTCGTGGGGTACCTATGAAGATTGAGAAGGAGATATAGGTAAAATACTGAGTTCAGTCCGTGGCAGACACACTTAAGCACTCACTATTGGCTCTTATCTCCTATATGAACTAAGTGCAATTAACTGTAATATTGTTTCTTTACTATTTCTCAGCTTTATGGCTCTATTTTATTTGATATTGAAGGATAAAAGATAGATGTTTACCATCACCTAGAATTGGGTTGTGGCCCTTCAAGGAATCTGAGGCTTAGATGGGTTATTAACTTTGGAAGCTGCCCTGCAAATTATTGCTCTAATTTATATTTTTCATTAATAGCTCAGCTTGCCTCTTCTATAGCGGTCTTCCCTGGCCCTGAAACCCCAGGGTTTAGCCATAAAAGATTTTAAAATTAAGGGGCCATAATTCTCTCCACTCCTTACTGTGTGTATTAATGGGAAGAAGGTGCACAGAATATAATCTTACCTTGGACAAAATAAATGCAAAGGGTTGGCCCTGTTTCTCACCTTTGAAGCACAAATCAAGAAATGCTATGATGAAACATAGTTTGTTTCTTTATATAGGTGTAGAACTTTACAAAAAAAAAAAAAATACTTGTTCAGGTGTCAGGAGATCTGGGTGCCAGGCCCCTCACTGCCACCAAGACGCTGTGACCTCTAACCCTGTGCATACATTTGCTTTGTGCCTTGCAGGGTTGAGCATTAGAGATGTAAGTAAAGCGCCTACCATCATGTCTGGCACACAGAACCGCCCCACAAAAATGATAGGTATTATGATACTACGGCTCTCTGAAAATCTAGCCCATCAACATAATGGAACTGGGTACATTCAGCTGTGAGAAGGGGCAACCACATCTCCGCACACCTCCGGTTGAACGAGAGCGGAGTACGGTCGCGTGGGGGAAAGACTACACCTCCCGCCGGGCTTTGCGGCGCGTCCTTCCGCGGCGGCCCCGGATGTAGGAGCCCTCCCCGCTGGTGGGCGTGGCCTCATGTTGGCTCTGAGGCCTGGGGCTCTCTTGCCGTGGGCCTTCCGGCTGGATTGGACACGGAAGGAGGGGTGGCGGCCAAGGCGCGCGCGGTGTGGCGACAGCCAATCAGCAACGTGGCCGGCCTTTGGCGGGAGGCGGGAACTCTGCGGCTGTAGATTTGGCGCGAGCGCGGCTGGACTTTGCTGTTGCCGGTGTGAAGTTTGTTCAGGAGCTTGTCGTGGGGAGTCCCTGAGGCCGTGTGTGAGACGCGAGAGAAGGAACCTGCGCGGAGGTGACGCAGATCTGTGCGGCGGAAAGGAGAGGATCGCTCGGGGAGGCCTGGGGTCTGCGAGGCAGCGGAGTTGAGTGAGGGCTTGGGCGAGGCCCGAGGTGAAGTGAGGCGAGGAGAGCTGAGGTCGCGGGAGGTCCGAGGTCGGGGTCAGGGACGGGGACGGGGACTGCGCCCTCGGAGGAGGTACAGCAGTTGTAGGTGGTGTGAACGAGCTGAAAGCTGTGGGAAGGAAATGTCCCGGGGTGGGCTTGAGGGGTGCGTGGAGCGGGGACCGGGCGCAGGGGCGGAGGGAAGAACGGAGGCTTGGGAGAGTCGAATTGTGGTGGCTGCTGATAAAGATGCCCCATGTGCCTGCAGTAAGGGAATTAGAAGTGCTATAGAAATCAATTAAGATAAATTTCTCATTGCATCATTCGAGTAGTTAAAAACTAGGGCTCTGGCGCCAGAATGCCTGGGGCGATATCCCTGCTTTTCTGTGACTTTGGGCCTTTGTGCATCTCAGTTTTCTCATGCGTAAGATAGTGATAATAATAATAATAATACCTACATCTGTGGTAGCTGTAAAACTTAAATGAGTTAATATGTGAAATACTTATAAGAAAACCTTCACATAGTAGGTGGACAACAAATGTTAGCTATTATTTGCATAGATTTGGACGTGACCCAGAACTGCATGCTAAAATGTTGTTATAACGTAATTTACTTGTGAAATGAGTGTTGATCCTCAGTATAAATAAATCCCATGTTATCTTCCTGTGACTTTTACATATTGACTGGCTGTCCGTTCTTTATTGTATCCAGCTGTGTTGCCATCATGCCTCAAACCCGATCCCAGGCACAGGCTACCATTCGTTTTCCAAAAAAGAAGCTGTCTCAGACATTGGACAAAAATAAAAACTCTAGTAACAATAAACTAGAACCAGCGACCGTCCAGGCTATACCGTGTTCTCCTTGTGTAAAAATCCTGCCTCTCAGCCCCAGAAAACGTCTGGGTAAGATATCCATTATGATTTTTTTCTTTTTCTAAAAGATGACCGGTAAGGGGATCTTAACCCTTGACTTGGTGTTGTCAGCACCACGCTCAGCCAGTGAGCGAACCGGCCATCCCTATATAGGATCCGAACCCGTGGCCTTGGTGTTATCAGCACCGCACTCTCCCGAGTGAGCCACGGGCCGGCCCCCTTTTCTTGGTTTTAGAGCAATGCTGGGTAATATTTGTTTGTTTTATAGCATTTGTTTTTAATTGGGAGTGATTTGGTTGTATCTGGATATACTTTCGGTTGTCACAGCTGAGGGGGTGCTACTGGCATAGTGGGTAGAGGCCAGGGATGCTGCTAAACATCCTACAATGCACAGGAAAGCCTCCCACAACAAAGAATTATTTGGTCCAAGATGTCAATGGTGCCAAGTTTGAGAAATCCTGTTTTAGAACAATCATAGAATATCATCCCACTAAAACCAATTTGGTTTCTATCAAACGCTAGTAAGATTCAGTGGTGCCATCTGGTGGCCATTCTATTTTTCTAGGTAAGAAGGCATTTTATTTTGATGGTTATGAATACGGTAGAAATTCATCTATTTCTGGGGGAAGCAGAGGTCTTTGCAAGTCCTTTTACTATCCACTGCTTTGAATGACCATGTTTTGATTTTAATATGTTTCAGGTGATGACAACCTATGCAACACTCCCCATTTACCTCCCTGTTCTCCACCAAAGCAAGGCAAGAAAGAGAATGGTCCCCCTCGCTCACATACACCTAAGGGACGCAGATTGGTATTTGACAATCAGCTGACAATTACGTCTCCTAGCAAAAGAGAACAAGCTAGAGTTCACCAAAAGAAAGTACTTTCCTCAGTTCAAAAAGGTCAAGAGACCACAGCAAGTTCTGAGCAGAGATGTCCACTGGAGAAAGAATCTACATATATAAGACTGTTCAAGCAAGAAGGTTTGTTCTTACGTGGCAGCTGTTAGTGCAGCCACCATAAACCAGGCTGATGACTCCACACAAAACCCAGTGGGTCTTCTCAGTCACCTTCTGTTGTGTATAATTGTCCTTTTATATCTGGCTTAGGCACTTGCTACAGGCAAGCAAAGCTGGTCCTGAATACAGCTGTTCCAGATCGGCTGCCTGCCAGGGAAAAGGAGATGGATGTCATCAGGAATTTCCTGAGGGAACACATCTGTGGGAATAAAGCTGGAAGTCTTTACCTTTCTGGTGCTCCTGGAACTGGAAAAACTGCCTGCTTAAGCCGAATTCTGCAAGACCTCAAGGTACACTGAGAGTCTGAATTATGATGCTCTTGCTAAAATGACATGTTATTAAGGGTTAAAGAGTAGAACTTTGGGAGATTGAAGGTTTCCTTAAAATAAGACATTTCTAGTTTCATTGTCTTAATCTTTCCAAATGAATGTAGAGCTTCCTGTCTTATATGCTGTTAGCTCTTCAAAGACATTTCAGGTTCCATCAAAGCTTATCTGGGGCCAAAATAACTCCCATGTTTGTATTTTTTTCTAGAAGGAACTGAAAGGCTTTAAAACTATCATGCTGAATTGCATGTCCTTGAGGAGTGCCCAGGCTGTATTCCCAGCTATTGCTCAGGAGATTTTTCAGGAAGAAGTTTCCAGGCCAGCTGGGAAGGACATGATGAGGAAATTGGAAAAACATATGACTGCAGAGAAGGGCCCCATGATGTAAGTATTGCTCTGCTGCATGTTGCTCTGTGAAAATCTGCAAGGTCTAATGCCCACAAAAAGAACATTCCCTATATTTGCTCTAGGAGAGGCAGTTATATAAGCTTAAAGGGAAAGAAGAAAAGAAAATTATACCTTCTAATTTTAAATTGGGAAAAATGTTTTTAAGCTAATTGCTTGAAAACACATAGATGTTACTCATTGGTGATGGGGGTATCCTTGTAACGATGACTAGAAATAGGATATATTATGATCTTTAAAATGGTCTCAGCTTTAGAAATGTGACCTAACTTCAGATCAAATAGGTGGGAAGGTTAAGAAGGTGAATATGGATACTAATTGTTTCTCTTTATATGTAGTGTGTTGGTGTTGGATGAGATGGATCAGCTGGACAGCAAAGAGCAGGATGTATTGTACACACTGTTTGAGTGGCCATGGCTAAACAATTCTCGATTGGTGCTAATTGGTTAGTGCTCAATTGTTGTTTTGTTTTGTTTTGTGGCTGGCTGGTACAGGGATCGAACCCTGGACCTTGGTGTTAAAACATCACACTCTAACCAACGGAGCTAACTGGCCAGCCTCAGTGCTCAATTGTTAATGTTACATGGTGGTTCTAAAGTGTTCTTTAAAAAAAAAAAAATCTATTCAGCTTATTTATCATTTATTTTATCTTAAATCAGCTTTCTGCCTTGTCAACATAAGAACATTACTATAAAATAATAATGACTTTAAGGCAAATCAGTTTTATTAAGTTTGAATAGAAATGTCATAATACTACATTTCAGACACAATAGATTTTTGGGGTGTCTGGTCCTGTTTATCTGTGAACAATTCTAAATCTGACTTAAAAAGAACATTCTGGGTTGGCTGGTTAGTTCACTTGGGAGAGCATGGTAACACCAAGGTCATAGGTTTGGATACCTGTACTGGCCAGCCACCAAGACCAAAAAAAGAGAAAAAAACATTCTAAAAAAACCAAGCAAACAGAAAAATAGGCTGGCTGGTTAGCTCAGTTGGTTAGAGCATGGTGTTATGACACCAAGGTCAAGGGGTTCAGATCCCTGTATGGACCAGCCACCAAAGAAAGGAAAAGAATGTTCTATAATGACTATGTATATCTTACCTAATAGAAAACACCTTACCTACTGGGGTGGGGAGGGGGGAAGGGAGGAAGCAACAGTTGGAATGCTGGATTATAACTGGAAATTTTATTTGGCTTTCAGAGGGTTTCGGTTTCCTTTTAGGATAATTTGACCAATGGTGATTTGTGTTATTTATCTCCTCCTCAGGTGTAGCTAATACCCTGGATCTCACAGACAGAATTCTGCCTAGGCTTCAAGCCAGAGAAAAATGTAAGCCACAGCTGTTGAACTTCTCACCTTACACCAGAAATCAGATAGCCACCATCTTGCAAGATCGACTTGACCAGGTGAGTGCCAACCATTGTGCCAAATTATGTGTTCCTTGAATCGCTGTTAGGGAAACCTAACAATAGTTGTAAAATATTGCTTTGATTGCTTTACTAATGGAGCAGGGAGTTCCTATGGCCCATAGTGAGAACATTTCTGTGTGAATTTCCACACATGGCTCCATTTATTGGATGCCTCAGTGTTGAGGTAAAAGTAGAAGTTAGAGGAATCACTCAAATGCTTCCTTAATGCCCTTTAAAAAAAACTTTCTCTTTTGAAAGTGACTAATTCTTTTTTTTGCTAATTTAAGTTCCAATTGCTGTTTTCCATTTATGAACCTCTACACATTCCTATAAAATGCTTAAATGTGTGAAAACTCTCCAACGTCTCCATTTATTTATGAGCAGAAAAGGCATCTCTTAGACCCTAAAGTGTGGCCAATAAAGTTTAGATTTGAATGTGAAAATATTTATGCCTGGGACCTAAATTACAGAGGGAGAATCTTACAGTTCAACCTGTCATCTTCTATGTTTTGCCCAAAGGTACCTAGAGATCAGGTTCTGGACAATGCTGCCATTCAGTTCTGTGCTCGCAAAGTCTCTGCTGTTTCAGGAGATGTTCGAAAAGCGCTAGATATTTGCAGGTGAGTTATGGCACTGTTGGCTGCTTTTATTAAAAAAAAAGAAATGCTGTTAATTGTCTCATGTAACTCAAGCGAATGTGGCTTAAGAGGCTCTGTTCTGCTACTTTTTAAGCTGGGAAAGGAGGACTTGTTTCTCAGTGGGGAGCTGTGCATTTCCACCGTGTTAATGTCTGAAACATTATCAGTCCATTACCTACAGAGGGAAAAACAAATGAGATGTTGCTGGCACTCCCTGTGGTGATTATAGATTGGTTAATTACATTTGTATTAAAAAAGACTCCAGTTTACTTTTCCATTAGCTGGTCTCAAGCAGGTTTATTTATGGACCTGAACCATCTTTGCCTTTAGACTTTTTTCCCTTCCTTTCCTTTTGTGAGCACCCCTTCTTTCCTCCAGTTGGTGGTCCCCCACAGTTGTACTCCAGACCTCTTTCTACCTTCCCATCCCCCGGCCCTCCTGCTGGGGAGAGCCTCTGTGCTGACTGACAAAATTTCTTCCTTCCCAGTAGGAGCACTGGGTCTATTAAAATGATACTTGCTGTGCTGGCCCGCTGGTCCAACCTCCCCCTACTGCCATGCAGAAGATCCAGGTCTGGCTTATGGTTTCCTGTGGGCAAAGTACTTTGGAGAGAGCAGTGGGAGAGTAAGCTCTTCCTACTGCTAGATTGCATGATCCTGAGTTTGAAAGTTTCCCCTAGTCAGCAAACTACTTTGGTAAAGACTGAAGCTATGGGCAACAGTCATGTAGCCTGGCATGGTTTAGCCTACACATATCCTATGTATATGTAACTGAAGACTCCCCTTTTGGGTTTGGTGTGTATGAATGGTGCTGGCTCTCTGTTGTCAGCCACACCTACTTTATATCCTCTTTCCTGCATGTGACATTTTCTTATCCAAAATGTTATCATTGGCTCAGTATATGATGACCTACTTGGCATCTATAAGAGGAAACCATTTAGTGTCGAAGTTTCTCAAATCCCTGGTCCATGAATTATTTCAAGGCAATTAAGTCCCCTTTAACTGAGGCATAACCCAGTTTTGTTTGGGAGCTTTAAAATTATAAAACATGTTGTTTTTAGTTAATGTGCCTGCTTTTGAGCTTGGTGGTTTGGTGTGGTGTTTGGTTTGGCTCAGACTAAATTAATTTCAGAAAACTTTTTTTATAGGAGAGCTATTGAAATTGTAGAGTCGGATGTCAAAAGCCAGACTGTCCTCAAACCACTGTCTGACTGTAAGTAGTTTATCTCCTCCTTGTCCTCCTTTATAATTGGAAGCTTAACTTTTCCAAGGAAAGAGATAGAAAGATGAAAGGAACATAGTTAAATCCACACTCAACCATTTTTGTGTGTGTGTCTGTGTTTTTTGACAATTCTATCTACTTTATTTCAGTATTGCCTGCCAGTACCATAAGTCCATGCATTACTGGAAATAAGTTCCTAGGGTATTACATAAATGGCTGGGATAGAGTAAGTTTTCTTTCCAAGCTCTAGGAATGAAAACTGTAGACAGTAAGGTCAGATCAGCTTCTTTCTGGGTGCTTATTTTAAGTGTACTTTCGGTCTTGGCATAGGTGAAAGCAAAGCCTGAGAAATACGGGAGAGTCAAGTGAAAGAATTATTAGGATATCTCACAACTTGGGCTATCTCAAGCCTTTAAACAAGTCTAGGAGGACGGAGGTACAAAGATTATATTGCTACAGTAAACTGCAGACTATCACAAATGACAAAACTAATTTTCCTCACCCGCAGCTTTGTTCTCTTAGCTGTGGCAGATGTAAAATGGCCATGAACTACATATCTTTTCAGTGTGTAATATCCAGTGTTAATCTTTAGAAACAGGACAGTCTGGTTGAATTGTTTCTTCCTTTACTCCTGCACTGGTTGGGAGTTATTAAAATTGTTTCTAGCACTATAGTTCCAAATGAAAGACTTCTTTTTTTCTATCATTTTATTCCTTTTCCCTTACCAGTAACATTTAGGCTTCCCAGCGACCCCCGTGAGCACCACTGGCACCCACATAAGTAAAAGAGTTTTTAAATTCCTGGCATAAATTATTAGACTAACCTAATTCCTATTTTTTTTTACTTCCAATATGTGTGGGATTGGCTTTTAATGGCTTCAGAAAGCTGTGGAGAGACTGACTTCAACTAAATAAAACAAGAAACTTTCTAATAAATAGAACTAACTGGGCTTCCTTGAAACATAGTGGGTTCCTCAGCATTGAAGATATTCAAGCAAAAGATGACCACGTGTTGGGACTGTTTTAGAGGGGACTTAGCCATTGGATAAGGAGTAAGAATAGACTTCTAATTTCCTTTCAACTTTCAGATTCTATTATTTGATCTGTGATCTCTAGTTTCTCCACTAGTCCTCTGCAGCATCCGTTTGTGGTAATGAAATAGAAGTACATTGTTGTATTAGTCCATTTCTGTCGCTTATAACAAAATACTTGAAACTGGGTGATTTATAAAGAAAACAAAATTTATGGGCCAGCCTGTGGCTCACTTGGGAGAGTGTGGTGCTGATAACACCAAGGCCCCGGGTTCAGATCCCATATAGGGATGGCCGGTTCGCTCACTGGCTGAGCGTGGTGCTGACAACACCAAGTCAAGGGTTAAGATCCCCTTACTGGTCATCTTTAAAAAAAAAAAAGAAAACAAAATTTATTCCTTACAGTTTCTGAGGCTGAGAAGTCCAAAATCAATCTGGTGGTGGTGACAGTGATCCAGGGGCCTCACATTGCAAGATGGTGGAAGCAGACAGAACAGAGAGAGAAAATGGACTCTCCTCTTTTAAAGTCCTCAGAACCACGCCCCTGACCACCATTTTTAATCCATTTATCACTACATGATCCTACAATCCAGTCACCTCTTCAAGGCTCCACCTTTCAATTACTGTAACAGGATTTCCTTCCCACCCTCTCAACAGTCACAGTGGGGGCCAAATTTCTAATACATGTAACTTGGGGGACACAATTCAAGCTTCAGTGAGTTTTGGGGGGACAACTCAATCCACTACAATTGTTGTGGGTAAACTGCAGATGGTCTCAGGAAGTAACTTCGGGCAAAGGTTGTTACAGAGCAAATCTCTCCTTTGGGTTGCAATCCATGCATCTCTAATGAGGCCATGGTCCTGTGCAGCTGTTGGCAGTTGCTCAACCTCCAGCTTTTGAGATGGTGCTGTCTGCTAGGATATCCCGTGACATTTTCTCAAGTGTTGCTCTACTGCAGATCAGTTTGGGCAAGTGGCCCAAACCTCAAAGGTCATTTGGGGAGGCCATCTGAAGGACTGATGTGGGATCGACTTTCCTGTCCACATCTAGCCACTCATTTGATTCAATATATTAGATAATTTTTAAACTACTTTTTTTTCCTTAGTTACCAGGAACAGTCACCATCTTTGCTTCAAGGTTCTGTCCTTTTACCTCTGAGATATTAGGAACTTCCAAGGCAGAACACAATAGTTCTCTGGTCCTTATTCTTTCATGAGGTGGATTTTGTCTCTCTGACATTAAATTACATTCCACTGGACAAAATAGCTCACTATTCTGCCCAGAGAAAGAATAACCCTACTTTCCAATCATCCCACGTTATTTTGGCATCTTTCTGAGGATAGCATTGTCCTTTGGCTTACAGTTAAAGAGTTGGAACCTCTACTTGGCTGCCACAGGACTGCACTTGAATTTCCGTTAGCTGAAACTTAGTATCATCTGTCTTGACACACACATACAGACAATATTTTAAAAATCTAATTAAGCCTGACTTACTTACTTTATAGGTAAATCACCCTCTGAGTCTCTGGTTCACAAGAGGGTTGGTCTTAGTCACATATCCCGAGTCATTTCAGAAATTGATGGTAGCAGGATGACTTTGAGCCATGAAGGAGCACAAGATTCTTTCCCTCTTCAGCAGAAGATCTTAGTCTGCTCTTTGCTGCTCTTGACCAGGCAGTTGAAGATCAAAGAGGTCACTCTGGGGAAGGTAAGTTGGGAAAGAAGATGCTGAGGTAGAGATGAGAATCTGCTTTGCAGAGCAGATGTTTTCCAAAAGGCCTACTATGCTCCAGCCGATATGAATTAAAAATGTATTTTAACAGTAATAATAAATACTGGTACTATATAAAAGGTAGCTGACTTTATTTCCCTTGGGCTGTGGTTGAGAGTTTATCATTAATCTTCTCTCCATCCACCCCTTCATTTCTGCATCTGCCTATGAAGTATATAAAGCCCCCTTTTCTACACTTACAGTATAGGTTTTGGAGAATATCTGTGGAATGCCTACTCAAGGATTTTACTGAATGGAGGAAGAAATGGAGTATTCGGATGACTTTTTTTTTTTTTCCTTTTTGTCTTTTTTACTGACCGGCAATGGGATTGCAACCCTCGGTGTCGTGCCCGCACCGTGCTCAGCCAGTGAGCGGGAACCGGTCTCCACATGGGATCCGAACCCTCGGTGGGAGCGCTGCCATGCTCCCAAGCGGCGCACTCTCCAGTGCGCCACCGGGCCAGCCCTTCAGATGACTTTTGTGCAAACCCAGACTCATATTTTTACAAAGACTATAAGGTTACAAGCAATGTGACTCTTAACATTTGTTCTCCCTTGTTTCCTCCCAGTTACATGAAGCCTACAGTAAAGTCTGTCGCAAACAGCAGGTGGCAGCTGTGGACCAGTCAGAATGTTTGTCACTTTCAGGTCTCTTGGAGGCCAGGGGCATTTTAGAATTAAAGAAAAACAAGGAAACCCGCTTCACAAAGGTACAACTAACTGCTTCTTTGTGACAACACTTTTAATTGTTCTGTTTGGATTGTTCATCCTTTGCTAAAGTAAAGATTGAAAAATGACCACAATTGGACAATTTGTGTGTGTGTGTGTGTTGGTTTTTGTTAGGTTTATTTATTTATGCTTATTATTATTATTTATGTTTATTTTATTATTATTTTTTATTTGTTTTTTGTCAGGGTTTAAGATATGTGAGGATGGGAGTGTGATGTGAATGAGTTTTTTTCAGGTCATTGAAAAAAGCAGTGTTTAACTTGCTTGCCTCTTGTGAGAAGAGTTTAATATGGTAGACGTTTGTATAATAACAATTTTACTTCTGTAAGTTCTCCACCATGAAAAGTCCTTTTCTGTTCCTTCCAGGTGTCTTTGAAGATCGAAGAGAAGGAAATAGAGCACGCTCTGAAAGACAAAGCTTTAATTGGAAATGTCTTAGCTACTGGATTGCCTTAAATTCTTCTCTTATACCCCACCGGGAAGTGCTCAGCTGGCGCTTAGAGAGCGGTGGAGTCTTCATTTTAGTGCTTTATACACTAAGGTCTGAGAACAAATATGACCTTTTTTACTTGAAACCAATTAATTTTAATATATAGATTCATGAATATTAGCACAGAGTAATGTCTTTGGGTCTTATTATTTTTACCCATAAAAGGGACCAAGTAGATGCATTTTAATTGCTCTTATTGCTTCTACCACTTGTACGTCTCTAGCCAGTGTGCTTGCAAGTATGCAGATTTGCATTGTAGAATATACATATTTACTCCTTAGTTTGCTCAAACATTGGTGTACTTTTTTTTTTTTGTCTTTTTTGTGACCAGTAAGGGGATCGCAACCCTTGGTGTGGTGTCGTCCGCACCACGCTGAGCCAGTGAGCGCACCAGCCATCCCTATATAGGATCTGAACCCGCGAGTGTGCCACAAGTAAGGGGATCGCAACCCTTGGTGTGGTGTCGTCCGCACCACGCTGAGCCAGTGAGCGCACAGGCCATCCCTATATAGGATCTGAACCCGCGAGTGCGCCACGGGGCCGGCCCCAAACATTGGTGTATTTTGTTAAGAACTTTGAAGTTAGGATAAGAAGAATGAAAAAGAATGATCCAGAAAAGTAAGGAAGTCTACATTTAGATTTGGACACCTTGGTCCAAGAATTTATTTTTTTGGAGTGTACTGTGTTCACATCGTAGATACTGCCACACTGTGAAATTTTAAAGACTTATTGAGTTTCTTGGGCACTCCCAAGGTTGTGGGAGTGATAACAAGAATGTAACTCTACAGATTGTGAATATATTTATTTTCAAGTTGCATTCCTTGTCTTTTTAAGCAATCACATTTCAAGAGAGCTCAAGCTTTCATAAGGTGATGTGAAAATCCCTTCCCAAACTGTCGTATAGTCTTAGCTGCCCTGAGATGAAGCCACTTGTTTCAAGATGCCTTAGTTTGGGGTTGGATTTTCATCTGAACACACATTTTTCCAGTCTTATTGAATAAATTAACCCATATGGTTACTCAAAACTCTTTTCTGGGTTTGGTTTTTATTGGCATTAAATGGCAGCTTGTGATAGGGACACCAGAGGGCACCATTACAACACTGACTTTTGAAAGTGCAGACTTGGGGTTGGGGTAGTTTTGAGGGAAGTGGGGAAAAAGTACTTAAGTTTGATTTGTTTGGGAGATTGCTGTACTTTTATAACAAGCAAATGCTAGAAATGCAAACCATGTGTGATATGAATGGTCTGAAAGCCAGTGACCTAAGTCTCTGCTTCTCCCTAAGATCTTCTGCTGCCTCCTTCCTTTCTGACATGACCTTGAGTTTGGGAACTTGATATGTGTACAGATGATCTGTTGGCCACTGTTTCATTCATCCTGCCCACTGTATCCTTGTAATGTGATCTGAGCTACAGCAGGTGCTATGGGATAGAAATGGGATAGAAGAAGGGCAAGCAGAGAGAGTGCTCTGAAAAGAACACCACCCACTGGTGTGTGTAGCAGAGGAGAGTCTGTAGGCATGGGTCTGAATGTCGTTTCCACTCTCACTCCTTTATTAGAGCATTCATTTCCTCTGACGGTAATTTGCAAGTGGGAAACAGTTCTGTACCTAGAAGGTTGGAAAGATTCTGGGGCTATAAGGGTTAACAAGCATAATTGCAAAGATTGTCCGAAGGCTGATGAAAAGCAGAGACTGAATGGGATTGAGAACAGATGCGAGGTTTGATTTAAATTACATTTTATTGGATGGTGCAGCCTTAAGAGACGTGACTGCTTTACAGTTTGTTTCCACACTGTGGGCAGCTGCTGTCTGTTCTGTGTCCACAGTAGGATCCTGCCCAAAAAGGAGCGGCCTCCCCACCTCGTTGTGTTTGAGGCTTGGCGCCTTCCTCTTAACTGTAGGGCTTGAGTCAGGAACATGGCTTGACTCGCAGTGGGGCTGCTATGTATCCTCCCTGGCTTCCAGCCAAGATCACATTTGCAGATTCAAAGAGGCCAAACTTCTTTCCCCTCTATCTCCTTTCTCTCCCTTTCCCCTGGTATTTGGAAATAAGAGTCTGCTGTGTACTGGTTTGTTAGTTTCCCTTCCTTCAATTCTCCCCCCACTGTCGATTTCTAGGTCATTGCTGCTCTTAAGACTTTAGCAATTGGAACAGGGTTGGTTGTGTCAGTGATGCGTGAAGCAGACTTAGAGTCCCTGCTTGGCTTCCGCTGCCCTTGTGGGAGCAAAAGCTGATATATGTTTGTCAGTAAAGTCTTAAGTGTAATTCAGACAGCCAGAGAAGAAAGGAGGAAGAAAATCTTTTCCTTGCTGGCTTTTCTCACTGAAGCTAAGAGCTACGGGAAGGTGGTGGGAGTTTTAGTGAGATGGGATGGGCTTGTGGTTAATAGTTTTTGCCAGGATCTTAGGCTGCCTCACGTAGAGTAGTGGCAAAGATGCTGACCTACATTCTTCCTTTTGAACGTGGTGGCGTGTGTGTCTATATCCTGGGTTATCTTTTTTTCCCCCAAAGAAGCAGATTAAGCTTCCATAGAGTGTTGGGTATTGCTGTGGCAAGAACGTAGACACAGATAAAGTTGGTGTCGGTTTCAACCCCAGAGCTGCCACTGACATTTCTGGCTCAATGAAGACTTGCCTGTGGCTAGCTAACTGTAAGAGCGTGTGAGGTCCAAGCAACTCAGATCAAATAAGTTGGCAGAGCCCTATTCCTACCCACCCCCCATTTCTTCCCTACCTTTATTAAGTGCTCTTTTAAAATACACCAGTAAGAACTCAGAAGTGGGATAAGATATGAATTAGGTCATATATTTATTTATTTTTCCTTTTTGTCTTTTTTCGTGACCGGCAATGGGATCGCAACCCTCGGTGTCGCGTCCGCACCGCACCGCGCTCAACCAGTGAGCGGACCAGTCTCTATGGGATCCGAACCCTTGGCGGGAGCGCCGCCACACTCCCAAGCACCGCACTCTACCGAGTGCACCACCAGGCCAGCCCTAGATCATAACTCTTGGCACTTACTAGGTGCTCAACAATGGCAGCTGTTAACATTATGGACTTGGGGAGGTGTTTCTCCTCAGTGGTCACGACACTCAGCACACTGCGCTGTCCCATCTCTCACCTGCTGGCCACCGCACACCTGGGGGATGGTCACTTGGTGTTGTCAGCACCACGCTCAGCCAGTGAGCCAACCGGCCATCCGTATATGGGATCCGAACCCGGGGCCTTGGTGTTATCAGCACCACACTCTCCCGAGTGAGCCACGGGCCAGCCCATCCTAGATCATATTTTTGAAAACATCTACTGAGAGGTGTTACCTTGACTATAGAGGGAGAACAAAAGAATCAGGATTGAGATTTTACTTAGATTTATATCTCTCCACAGCACTTAATGTAGTGCATAGTACCTGGTAGGCATTCAATAACTGTTGAATGAACAGATAAATGAACCAAGTAAGATGCTGTGTTTCACTCCATCTTGAGGACAATTCTAAGCTGTAGGTAAATATTGTTGGTGCTTTTGCGCTGAAGTGGAGCAAGCCCCTGCAAAAGAAGGGTGCTCCGTCTTACAGAATACATCTTGGCACAGTTGTGGAGCATTTATCAGCTTTACAGATGCCTTCCAATCACTCCCTCTGATGTAGTGGTATTTTGCTTAAGGCAACTTCTATGTTGCTAGCAGGAAGCTTTGGCTATGGGGAGAGAGAATTTTATCTACAGTCTTGGAAGAGTGGTTCCTATCTGGATGTTACCTGGTCTCCCTAGAGATTGGCCAGAAGCTGTGCCTGTAGTTAGCAAGGGATTAGGGAGAAACCCACCTTTGATGTCCCGCTTTTTAACTTTTGGGGAAAGTTGTGACCTCAGGTTTCTGCTGGAAAGATAAGGTGCCCTCTAAGACACATTTTCTTAAGCTTACAAACGGTGTGGGTCTTCCTCTTCTCCGAAGAGGTGCATTCTGTAGGGGGAGAAGGCATACCCTCTGGCCTCCCCTTGATTTTCAACCCCAGCGCCAAGGCACTGGCAGTAGAAGCTAATTGGGTGCAAGGGGCCTGGGTGAAGATTGGTGAAAGAGAGAGCCAACTCTGTTTTTAAAAAAAGCTCTAATTGAGTTCTGAATCAGCCTCACTCCCTTTGATCCCTCCTCTGTTTCCCACACTGCCTGAAAGAGCTAGATCAGCACTTTATAACAAGGGTGTGCCTGCTCCCCACACCCCCCCTCCTGACACTCTCTGCTGCCGACATCCACTGCTTGTCTCCTTCAGTTAAGATAATGAAGATGCTGAGAGATAAAATGTGTATTTAATAAGGGTGGGGGTAGGGAGGCAGAAAGGGGCAACCAGGGCCTTCCCTAGTCTGGGGCCTTGCCAAGACTCTGAAAGCAAAGCTAGAGTAAGACTTGGCCCCAGGGTGTGGGGGTTTCTGGGCCTCAGTCCAGCTGACTTCACTGCCTGCTGTTTGCCCTAAATTCCCCCACCTCCACCCTCTCACCCCCACACTCCTTTCCTCTCTTGCTCCCAATGGGAAAAAAAGGAGCCTTGCTTCAACTCTCTCTTCAGCTGGTAACTTGGCCTTTGGTGGGTGCCCCCCACTCCAGTGTCAGCCGCAAGGTCGGGCTAGGGCAGTCTCCTTTAGCCTAGGCCTGTAGAAGCTGTGGGTTCACAGTGGGGGGTGAAAAAGCTGAAGTTAATGAAGACCAGCTGCTAGTCTGGGTTCTGCCTACAGCTAGCTGGAGGCCGGCCTTTGGTGGTGGTTAGAGGTGGGGGGTTGACCTCTAGCCATGGGCACAAGGATATCCTGTGGCAGCTAGGATTGTGCTTCTCTCTGAGCTTGGTTTTATCCTTACTTCATAAGAGAGTAGCCTCTTTCCCTGCTCCTCCCTTCCCCAAATAACACTCAGCCCTTATTGAGCTTCATAACTGTAGTCGTGGCCCAGCTGAGATCTGAGGATCTCCAAGCCCTTTCGTAAACACTTATTAACAGCCTGGGAGGAACCAAGAGCCCAGTTTAAGAGCTGGGAGAGAACTGAGGCACATTAGGGTGAAAGGCTTGACCTGGGCTCACCCCACGGACTCTACCCTGGGCCCTCCATTCTTACTGTACAGCTCCTTCCCCAGTTCTTCCTGCAAGACAGAGAAAGAGGTGGAGGCATTGCTGTTGCCCTCTCCCCTTCTAGGAAGAGGCCATGCTCTCTCCCTTCCCTCAAGTCTGTCCCTGACTTCCCCTGGCCCTTCACCTCATGACATTTTCCCTGCTCTGCTGTTGGAGATATGTGCAACTCTCTTTGCAAAATGTT